ATATATATATATATATATATTATATATAAATTTTTTATTTTAGAGTTTTGAATCGTAATGCACGTAATGTATGAGTCAATATATAATTTTTACATATTAGCAAGTTTGATGACATCCAAAATTGAACCTAAAATTTTTGATAAATTTAGGTGCTCATTGATCTTGCTAAACATTATGCACCAACGATAATCTTTATCGATGAAATTGATTGGACCACCACGAAAAATATAGATCACTCCTCGTCGAGTTCGGAACCTGCTAGAAGATTTCGAGCGGAACTTCTTGCCAGATTGGACGGTTTATTGTCAACGGAATATACAAATGTAATATTGTTAGCAGCTACAAATGTTCCATGGTAAGCAAAGCAAAGCACGCAAATAGATGCAAAATTATTTTTTAAGAAAAGATTTTGAATTATTTTTGTACACTTTGCATCTTTTGCATTTTGTCATCTACACTCACGCACGCACGCAAGCGCGCGCGCGCGCACACACACACACACACACACACACACGCACACACGCGCGCACACGCACACGCACGCACGCACGCACGCACGCACGCACGCACGCACGCACACACACCCATAATTAATATTTTTTATCTTTTAGGAATATAGACGTTGCCTTGTTGCGACGTTTGGAAAAGCGGATTTTTGTGGATCTACCCGACGAAGCTAGTCGACTGGAAATGTTGCGATCTTATGTGCGTGATGATCTTCACAATTCGCCGGAAATGTTCAAACTTGTACAAGAAACCGTGGGATACTCTTGCGCAGATTTGAAATTGTTGTGCAAGGAGGCATGGATTAATCAATTACGACCTATCTGGGCGAATCTTGAAGCTAAAGCAATTTCTGCGAATAATATTCAAAATGATGGTCTGATCAGTGCAATGAATCATATTGAGCTTGCTAAACTCAAACTAAAACCTACCGCCAAACACATGAACGCGCAATATACCGAATGGTACAAAGAATTTGATTTCTCAAAATAAGTAAAAAATAATAAAGTAGCTTTTCTCCCCCCCCCCCCTCCATACACACACATACACATAATTGTAACACAAAATAAATATATCCATTAGATGATACATTACCCCACACATTACAAATGAAATTTTTCTGTAAAATAATCAAATTTTGTGAATATGGTTAAAATATTTGTAAAATTTGTTAGTTTATTTATACATTTTTTAATGTTAATCATTCTAATAAGATATTATATCCATTTATACATTTATAATTTATACATTTTTTAATTTTAATCATTTTAATAAGATATTATATCTATATAGATATTATATCTTTAATAAAAATATAATATATATATATTTAAAACGTATAACATATCAAAATGTTATAAAGAAATTTTAATACAAATTTTACAAATAAAACTTATCATATACATATATAATATAAACGGTTTTTTTTGTTAGTTTTTTTATAATCTAAAAGTATTATCGATATCTACAATAAACCTAAAAGATTTTGTTCATATAAATGTTTATTAACACAATATGTAAATTAAAATGTAAAACTTATATGTATCCTGATGCAAAAAAAAAAAAAAACATTTTCATACAAACTATTGACAGTTTCTTCTTTTGTGCTGATTAATTTTAGCTTGTTTTAATCCATGATAATAACCTACATAAAAAATGTCTACATTATTTTAACATATAGTATCTGGAAATATAAATGGTACAAAAATGTATACACACACGCGCGTGTACACGTACTCGCATATGTTATTTTTAATAGCTATATATACAATTTCTCTCCCTCTCTCTCTCTCTCTCTCTCTCTCTCTCTACATTAAAATTAAGTTAAAATAAATTTTATTCTTAAAAGTAAACGAAAAATAAAATTTTATAGTGCACCGTTTCAGTGAATACAAAAAATTTATATTTTTAACTGTTTATAATTGTGTTTGAAAATTGTTGGCTCAACATATGTACTATAAAAAGACTCCAAAGACATGTTTATTAAATATCGCAACAAGTTTTAAACACATAAGATATATTAAATAAATAAATTTTGAAAAATGAAAAATACTTGATATATTTGAAGTTACCTGTGTGAAATCCACTTAGATACCATGACATCAACATACTAGACAACGCATCTGCATCAGTTTCGGGCAATCTATAAATAGAATTCTTGGAGTTGTAGTTTATGATAATAAAATCATTATTTATATCTCTAAATTATTACTCTTACTTAGCCATTAATGGTGGTAAGGGTGGTGCAGGTGGCATTGCATCTATCGCTGGATTAAAATATTCAAGTCCAGACATAAAATTATTTTTAAATAATCTAGGATCCTCTGTGTCACAATCCATTCTTTCACTATTAATTTGTTTGGAATCCTGCAGCTTAGAATAAGTGGATGTGTCAGAATCTACAACTTCTTCATTAACCTTTTGTGCAGCCTTATGCTGGGCGATTTGGCTTTGTAATCCTTCAGATTCCAAAAGAGAATTTATTTCCACTTTTTCTGTATTCTGATATCCTGCAAATAATGAAAATTATTTACCTTATTACAAAAATTGCTTACTAGATATTGTATATTATTTTAATTAACTTATTAATTATTATTATGTAATTTTTCAATATTTGATACATGTCCGCACGCACGTGCATATACATACTATTTGTATGTAGATGTACATACATAGGGGTATGTGCATGTGTTATAATTTTGTATGTATCAATGTATGTAAAACTTTGTATATCTAAATTTTAATCATCATTAATATTAGTGTAATTTTTTAATTATGATATAAGAAATTATAGAAATGATTGTATTAATAAAATAATTACCAATAAACTTCACTGTACACATGCCAGAATTTTGATGAATTTTTGATATAATGGCTTCGTATACTTCTCCATCCACCGAATACACAGCACGACACGGTGCACCAATGGTCCATTTCTATAATACAGTAGAAAATTTAAAATATTTTGATAAATATTTTTGACAAAACATAATATACCTTTAATGGTTTTTTTATGTAATTTGAATGTTTTGAATTCTGACACTTGTGTTTTGTGTCCTGAGTATCCATAGCAATACGTTTTGCTACTTCCTCCTTGGCCAAATTTACAGCTTTATCATATGCTTGTATCAATGCAGTATCATCCCAAACATCTTCATTCTCACTTTTCTACAAATTGTCAGTATTTGCATACATTTTCTTTTATTTTCTTATTATCATAGTTCTCGTATTATTTCTATATTCTTTTATATAATTAAGAATTTGTCGATCAAGTCGAGATTTTTATAGTAACGGGACTAGTTCTCTTAAAATAAAATTAGGAATTCGTCCCTGTATTTTTCATATTCGTCCTGTATTTTTCGATATTTTCATGTCTGATTTTTGGCGTTAAAAATTAAAGGAATATTCATATATTCGTAATAAAAAATTAGAAAATCAAATACAGAAATTGAAAAAGGTTAATCATGAATGCACGTAAAAATTATTTAGTTTTCTGTTACTTTACGTATGAAAAGGACCTCTTACGTACATTTCCATTTCCTCTTATAAACAGCACATTGCTTTCTTCGGTCATCCTTTGACAAATAACCCAAAATAATCTCAATTCTAATGAAAACTTGACTCTCTCGACAGAAACACGGTAGACAATAGTGAACAGAGGACAGGCATTGATGGAAGCCATTAACAGTTACTAAGCCAATTTAGCCAACTCGCGCTTGTTCTCGCTTCGAATTAAAGTCACTAGATTATATAATCTAGTGACTTTAGCTTCGAATGATTCGATTGATTTGGAAGACCTCATGTGGCAAAAGCATAAAGCTTGAAACTCGGAATAGATAGCCAACGTTTGATCAGAGAGAAACATTAAAGATTGACATAATCTTATGGGAGACAGGAGAGTTAGCATCCGGCCGGTTGCTAAAATTTATATATGTTAATTAGTCGAACAACACTGCATTAAATTATCTCCGGGCAATCCTTTAGGCAAATTTTCGTGACTATCAAAGGCGAGCCCAAAGGATAAATTAGGCTAGGGGATAATTGAAGAGTGTCAATGTTATCGACTATTGATATAAATTTACGATTGTATATGTATATGTATGTATGTATGAATGTACAATTTATCTGAATGAATTAAAATGATTTTTTTTGTTATACAAATACATAAATGTAAATAATTAAAAACACGGATGGTAATTATAAAAATGCAATTTTAAATTAAATTATAATATTAACAAGTTGAAAAAATATCTGTCTAAAAAACATTGGTTTAATAATAATTCATATTCAAATAAAACTATAATTTTATATTATTACACACCACACATACATATATGTATATACGAAGATTACACAGATAGAATACAAATAAATTAAAACTCAAAACTTTGTAAAGAATTATATATATATATATATATATATATATATGCATATATATATATATACACTTTATTATAAATTCTTTTTTGCTGTCTATATTAACATATACGTTGAGCAAAATCATAATATTAAATAATTAAAATACGCAATTCACACGTACATATGTCGAATAATAAAAATCAATAATCAAAGTAATTCGACATATAAATTATTCTGTGTGAAATAAAAAGGTTAACACATTCTAAAAATAATGACTGATGTAACTCAACGACAATTTGATATCTAACTATACCGCATCATGTATACAAAAAAGTGTTGAAGATATTTATGAGCTTTCAAATATTAAATCCATGCCTTTATTATTGCCGCAGCTAGGAAAGTCAATCGGTACAAGCGGCAAGTTTCGTTGGAGACCTACTCTCATTAAGAATTGCATTCCAGGCCCGAGTAATGGAGGATATATAGCAGTACTTCTCGCTTCCCACAACCAATATCCTGATAAGTCATAGTTAAATCAGGTTCGCTATAAACTTACTAAGAGATTCATCTTTATTCGCGCGATATTTAACACAAAATATTTTTACCTAAATTGTCGGTGTAAAAACGAAGAATAATATAACCCTTATTCGGTACGACAAAAGTATCTTTTCGCACCGGATTTACAAGATTTCGATGTATTTTTCCATTAAGGTCCAAGGATATAATTTCATCTTTGGTAAGAGGCTGCTCGAAACTTTCTCGGCCAATCACATTGGCATTATAACCATGTAAATGAAATGTATAGGATGCATTGCCTCCAAAGCCTGGAAAAGATACTAGATTGACTAATTCCTGACTTGTGACTTTACAAACGCGCAACAAGTTTTTTCTTTTACCGAGATGCACATATCTGTTATGGCCGGTATTAGATTTGTATTTTTTAATTAAATATAAAAAAATATCAAATATCTCAGATATATCGGGCGATTATCCGCGCGATATATAATATAATTACCTTCGTTTATTAATATAATTTCGATCGTTTTTCGCGGTGGAACTTGGAGTAATTGCAGACACTCGCAAAATAACGGTGTGTCGGCACATTCGATAGAGCGCTTGTCGAGAGAACAAATCGATTTCTCTAAAGTATTTTCTGGCTGCGATAGTATCGGAGATGGTGGATACTTGAAAGACATGCCATTAATCTGTGGTATCCTTATTGCGCCTTCCTTTAAGCCTGAAATTTTCCTTAATATACATAATAATGACAAAAATATTATTACATCTTTGTACAAAATAAATACAATGTTTCATTATGCGTGCAGATACAGCTAATCTATACGATATCATTATCATTAATTATATATCTTAATATTTCCTAGTTTTATTTCTTTTTTGTATTTAATTAAGGCTCCTGACTAGTAATCGCGACCATATTAGAGAATCGTGACGACATAAGTGAGAAAAGTTGACACGTAAAGTTTCTTGCTTACCATTTTTTAATAAAGAGAATTTGGACGAAATAAAAAAATAGGATCGCTTTAAAAAATTTGTAAAATGAATGGAAACTATCCTTTTTTCTCCTGATAATCAGTAAATAGCCGTAAAAGGTATGTGAAGTGAAGCTTATTTAGGCAAGAAAACACGATTTGACAAGTTGTTGAAAGGAATGAAAAAAAAATGCTTTTACATATAAAATTAAAAAATAACATTACTTTCCATCCATTTTTACGAATTTGATGAGTACAAAACAAGTCACGCGTTTTTTCACAGTATTAACCACATAACAATGAAATGACATGCAAGGCAAAATTTCGTTGCCAACACTTTTCACAGTAAGGTCCGTTTTACAATATGCCGATATCGTAAGCAGTAAAGCTTATTCTACAATAGTTGTAAGCCGTAAAAATTGATCAATCGAAGTCGAAAATATAAGGAAAATAATCGATTACGATTACGACATATAACGTATTGTAGACGATAAACAGAGATTTTAATTCCTATTGCGATATAAAGTTGTCACCGTCAACGCGGACTTCTTGGCTGATTGTGAGTATATACTGTATATAGTCCAGGAGCCTTAATAAACTATGCTATCTATAACATGTATTGTGTCGTTAAATGAGCAAACGTTTTATCAAAAAGTTCTTTAATGATAAATGATAAACGAATTTTCTTACTCAAGTAAGCTGGATAATATCTCGATGTATAAAAGTTGTAGGAATTGTCTGTCATTTCATCTGTAAAAAACGAGAAAATATTTGCATCGAAGGGCACGTAGATCGTTTCATCCGCTTTTTCCTCCAATTGCGATAATTTTGCACTCTTCAAATCCAGAGAACAAATGACATTTTTCGATATTCTGTGACAGTGATGACCACTTTCAGCAATTTTAAGTGACTGTTGATCGAAATTGTTAACGTCTGTAGTCCTTATCGCGTACGAATCGAATGTGGCATTTTCGTAAAAGATATATGCCTCTTGACGCAAATTGCGACATTCCCGAAGACCCTGAATATCGAGGGCGTACTTGCCAATTGTCTGTTCAGCCATTAGAATGCCGTCGATTCTTTCGCCTGAAAACAAATCCAATATTTATTAAGTAATTTAGCTTTCTGTGTCCTTATTTATCACGTACTGATCATTCTTTCATCGATGAAAAATTAATCAATAAATATTTTATTCAAGATAATTTAGTACAATTAATTTTCAATAATTAAAACGCAGTGATTATGAAATCAACTTGAAAATTGAAGGAACCACATTAATTACAGCAGTAACATTAACACTATAATTTTTATTGAACAAAAATGTATAAATCTCAACATATATATACATATATATACATATATATATATATAAAATATAAAGTTTATCCAAAAAATATGTTGAAATAATTGCAAAAATTGTGAGATCTTTTTTTTTTTTTTCAAAGAAAAGAAATGTCTGATCATATCGATATACATGTAAAGTTTCATTATGGACGAAAAACAACAGGTCAACTAACAATAAACTGAATTTATATATTAATGAATTATTTCGAATCGCAGATTATTTGCTTCAATTTTACTTTCCATTTATCGAAACTAATATACTTATAATCAAGATTAACAATTGATTCGCTCCTTATTAACATTTCCGCTATAATATTAGTTTTAATCATTGAAGAAAGTTAATCGACAGACGCTACGTGGGCATTTATTTTCATTTGTTTCGCGCAAGCATTTAAAGATTAATAGGGATACGTTGCGCTGTTTGTTGGGATTTTATGGGTATTTTACATAATAAAACGTCGACACTATTAAATCGATACAAATATTGTAATGCGTGTTTAATTTACTAGTATAATAATTCATTTATGTATTTATAGATGTAAGATTAACAAGTGTATCGAAGAGGAAAATCATATATCATGCTGCTAATACGAATTTGCAATCACCGCTATTAGATCCTCGCGACTCGGTTATCGTGTATATTCAAAATTTTAACGCTAAGAAAGACTAACTATATTTACTACATCGAGTTATTGATGATTAGTATTGCGTTTTTAGGAAATTAAATAGTGTGACTTTGGCGCGCGCGCGACATTATCGTGGCGGTGATTACAAATGAAAGATGTCTTGTGTTCGTTCGCATTCATATTTCATTGTCACTCATTGACTCTTTCCAAAAGTCGAAAAAATTCGAAAGACTTTAGTCTGCTGATTAATCCGGGTGTGTATTCTTTTTACATTAGTGCTGTGTTCAAAATAATGTCAAAAATTAAAGAGGACAATGTCGGAAAGTTAAATTAATATAAATTTTTATCTACAAACGATATGATAATTGAATTGTTTAAATGAGAAAAATGATAAACACAAGAGTAAATATTATAATGCTTAATTTAATATCAACATTTTTTATATCGATCGTTTTTTTTCGCGCGTAAAACGCGCACATACACATAAACACAAGAGAGTACTAAAACTCGACATTGCTTCTTTTAATTTAAAAAATAAACCAATCGATTTAATATCGACATATTTCTTGCTCAACCACTTTAGAAAAATTACTTATTATACAGTCTTGATCATCGTTCAAATCTTTATAGTCTTTAGGGCTGCGTTCAGAAACTTCGCCTAGGTGATTTAGAAATCATTTTATCCTTGTTTAACATGATCGATGAATAACAAGGATAACATGATATATCGTGATTTTCTGAACGCAGCCTAGAAGCATGCGGTTTGTAACAAGACGTGAACAGAGCGCGGTGCGATCATCAAAATCATCAATGCTCGTTGCAATCAAATTGACCTTATTATTGCACACAAATTACCACACTTGATTCCTCTAATTCCCTAAATCCGGAATATGTAATAGTTTAAATAATATTTTATCTATCGAAAAGTTAAAAGTTGTTCGAAATAGAAGATGTATAGTTTCACTCTGCCGCTAATCGGAACACACGCTCGGTCGATGAATAATGTGTGAAATGTGAATAGAAGGGTCTCTTGCGTCGAATAATAATTTTTTTCGTTTTACTTAGTTACTTTCTTTCGTCATTGTCCTTTTCAAAATCGTTCCAAAACCTTACTCGACTATAAGAACTCGTTACAGCTCGGGCAAACTTAAATCGAGATCGATAGCGACGATGCGCCTGCATGAATGCGACGACCTTATCGCAATGTCTTCTGCATGTTGGCTGTATTTGCGTTGGTTCGCGCTTAGCGAACCTTAGCGAACTTGCTTATTAGCGATGCGTTTGCGCGTAGATTCCGATTTCTGCCTCGAAGAGGATCTGATTGATTCTGAGTTTGGCGACCGATCTCGAGTATGAGTCGGGAATCTCGGCGAGCTGCACAGCAATACTCTCGCCAAACTTGGCAAACTCCTCCTTGGTCTTTTTTCGTTCTTGCTCGTCCGGTGCGCGAAGCTCGAGTTTCATCTGCCCGGACTCGTCAAGATCGGCCGGTGAATCGTCCTGGTTCGGCAAAGAACCGTTAAACAACTCCATTGCCTTCAGACTGGATGACGAGGACTCTTCGGCGTCCTCGCTCAGCGAGGCGTTGAAAGAGCCGCTGCCGGAGCCGTTTGTCTCCTCGTTGCAATCCATGAATGTTATACTTTCTGGATCGATGTCGCTCACAATATATTCTTCTTGTAGTTTTGGTTCCTCTTCAACTTTCTGCGAAAAGGTAGGATCAGGTTGTATCAGGAATTTTACCGCGCTTTTCTCTTTCTTTCAGTCTTGTGTAATTATTTTGCCTAATACATATATGAATAAATAAATTACGAGTGTTCAATCGTATTGATTTCGCACGATTCGATTCTAGTCTCACGCTGTGATCCTGATCACCAAGAAACGTCTTTCACGCATATTGATTTTCTCTGATAAAAAACTTGGGAATCGCATCGCTATTACGATTAGCGCGTATCACCACTTTACCGCTTTACCACTCCTGTGTGCATGCATGTAATCAAGCTAAATTCAGCTGAACGACAATCAAATTGAATTACCAGAACCAGAAGGAAAATCAAGTCGAGATGGACAAGAATCGATTCTAATTTTTTTTTTCGCTGGGAAGCGAACTTACGCATTAACGAATGATGACACGTCGCTACGCGTCGCTACGGGCCAATGGAATATTTATCTCGACCAGCGACGCGTCGCGCTACTCGTTGGAACAAATGTCAATATATACATATAATATATATTGCCGTCAATGTCGCTTGCAAAAAATCACGATAGCTACTTATATATATATACGTACACAGAAGATGAAGAATCTCCTTTGCGAATTAAGTGGTTCAAAGCATAAATATACAAACAAATAGCTCTCGGCACTTATTTTCGAATGATGCAGAGAAGAATGTTTGAAACATGTTTAGAAATGTTATTCTTTTTCACGTATTTCACAAGATGTTTGAAATTACACGAGACAAAAATTAGCCAGCCAAGTGGACAACTGCAAGATTGCATTTTACTTGTTTTTATCTTTTCACTCGATTGTTTGTTTCATTCAGTCGACCGACAAATTCTATGCAAGATCGTATTAGTCGCGTACACATATTTTCGTAAAGATAAAATAAAAATTACACTTGAAATTTACACTTAATAATTGGTAAATAGTCGGAAGAAAGATACGAATCGCCATTGCTTATCCTCCTCCTTCTCGAAATGAAAAAAATACATAAATAGAAATAGATTGAAAGGAATATAATATGTAACCGCGTTACGCGCATATAATTTTTCAACGACTGAATTTCGAAAGGAGCCAAGAAGTAAACTCTACAAATACCACGCGACGGTGTATTCTCTCCCTATCATTATTATTCTTTAAAAATCCCAAGAGATGATCATTTAGGACATTTTCGGACAGAAAACGGGTATCCCTCCCTCCTCCGCCTACCTTCTTCCGCTTGCTGTATCTACGCGTGCCAAATTGTAGGAACTGCATGGCTTTGAAGGCGAACCACTTGGAGACGTATACGTCGTCCGGACCGGTCGCGGCATCGCGACTGTTCTGTATCTTGTGCACCTCCCGAGAATACTGGCACTTGAGATTAGTGATCTTTTTCTCAACCTCGAGAGTGTTGCAGCAAAGAATCTCGGCAAGCTCCTGGATAGCTCGTTTGCGCTTCGCCCGGTCCCGATAGCCTCGAGCGTTCCAATCCCAGAGGACGCGTCGTTGTTGATACTCGCGTAGCAGTTCCAGAGTCTTGTCGCGGGTCCACTCCATACCGGCGCGCGTCCCACTGTTACCCAAACCGTCCCAAAGCCCGTGGTGGCTGTACATGTAATAGATACTTGAGGACTCGGGACGGAAGGACCGATGACGTATCGTATCGTTCAGGTGTCGTACGTAGAGAGTATAACTAGAGTATCGTTTCCCACGACGACTTGGAGGATGCCACACCGCGCGAGTGAACGAGCGGTGTGGCCAAAACGATCGACTTTGTCTCCTGTCGTTCGTTAATAAATCACAGGCCGGAATCAACACGACGTAAGCCGCAGCCGCGAAACGAGCACGCGTTTTAATGATTTTTGCACGGGGGGAGCTCGCGCGCGCTTCGCCACCTTCCTTTCTTTATTTCTCTTTGCGGAAACCCCGGCGGGAGCACGAAGACGGCCGAGTCTGCGCGAACGTTCGCCCGCCTGTCATGCGACTCATGCCTCACGTCTCACCATCCACATCGTTATCCGAGCCTGTAATGTTGTTGGGGGAGGGAAAGAGGGAGAAAGAGAGAGAAATTTCTCTCTCTCTCTCTCTCTCTCGCTACCACCACCACCGATATGTTTATCCTGCCGATGTTACCGATGTCATTGTACTGTTCTCTCCTTTTCCTTCTTTCTTCCTTGTCGCTCCATAAAGCACGAATGTAAATGCGCTAGTTACTTAAAAATCAAATCGAGAGCACAAGACAAGTTCAGGACTATTACGAGTATGTTTTGTTTCATCACAAGTCCAGAAGAAAATGTAAATAATTGTACATGGTTCACTTGTGCTTTGTTATAATATTTAATGAACATTTTAAAATGTCCATTGTCGAGACAATCCTTTTCATCTTCTCTATCCATCCTTGTGTCATTGGCCATGAATAAATTAAATCCGTACATTTGCAAGATTTCAATGAAAGTCTTGTATGTACCTGATTTAAAAATATGCTTCTTTGTACGAGCGAATGTAAAACGATTTTCTCTCTCTCTTCTCTCGTGCAGGGTCTCTCTCTCTTGAAGTGGCAGATATGTGAAACACGGGGATAGTCACATTGGAGTATGTGCGAAAAATCAATCAGACTCAGCAATACGGGGACAAAGGTATGCGTGCGCTCGGTCTCAAACAGATTTTCTTCCTTTCTTTTCGCATTCGTTTCCGTCCTCTCATGTATGAAACGCTTCGTCTCGCTTTAAGATGCCAAAGCGTGTATCTTACATTGTATTTGTAAAATAATTACGTGATTTTTGTTGGTAAGTTGATAAGTTATTTGATGCAGGTAAAAGTGTATGCACTGATTTTTAAATGTGTGTCGCACGTGTTATTTCGCCCTATTTTATTTATGGTCGCAGTCGACCTAATAACGAAATGTGTAATACAAAACGATATTTTTGTAAGTACGTTTTTTATACGTACTTTGGATTCTAGCGCATTTTTTTATATGCACGTGCAATATATACATATACGTGCATTAGATAAAAAGAAATACTTTTTTTTTTCTCGTTAACCGATTGAAATAATTCCAAATTAAATAAATCAAGATGCAATTTCGTTGTTTGCCTTTCCATTTTTCAGATTTATCAAAAATATGTAATGTATGTATATAAACTTATGTACAAAATATATCATTTGCATATTGTGTGTGTGTGTGTGTGTGTGTGTGTGTGTGTTTAAGATATACAACTTGTACAAGGCCATAAAAAAATGTAATTGAATTATAAACTTTTGTAGTATAAAATTAATTAAGTTCAAGCGTGCGCGCGCGATTAATTCTTTCTCTCAATCAAATATTGATAAACAAAGATTGTGGTAGTTATAAGGCTGGAAAAGCAGCACATATGGAATAAAACGTACCTGGGAATAAAATAACATGCGTGCCCATCATCGATTGTACAGGGTTGCCATCAGCAGCAAGTATTTGAAGCAAATGTCCGTGAATGGATAGTAAAATGGGACAATCGTAAGCATTTGCGTTAATGAGGCGTAGTAAATAGCGAAATCCATGTTTCACTCGTACGATCACTTCCCTCGTCTATAAAAATGTTAAATAACGTTTTTGAATTCCGGATCGTTGCATAGTTATTTTAATTCAAAGAGTAGAGTATCTATCTATATTTTATATTAGTATCGAGAGAATTATACATGCTATTATAGGTCGTAATTCGCATCGGTCCAGCCTTGAACAGCCGGAGAGCTGGCTAAAGTCGGAGCGAGCAAATTTTTGCGAGGTAATGGTAACTGCACTGGGAGCTGATGTGGAGATATGGGAGGCTATACCTGGCCGTTTACGAGCAGCTCGCTTGGCGTAGGTGGAAGGCTCGCATGCCAGAGTCGCGTCAGCAGAGTCGGCGACCTTGATGACAGGACGAGCGTCCTTTCCAGACTGAGATCCTCGTCCCGTGGTCCTCGAACTGTCAACGACCCGTACACTCCGTCGCCCTGCTGCGAGACTGGAAATGCAGGTCCCCTTCGACTTTTATTTCTTATCTCTCCGTTTCTCGGAGTTACGCTCTCGGTTACGGTTCTACGCGATTCTCGCGCCTCCTCTTTCGGGATCCTGCAAATCGCCGTCGCGGGAAGGCGAAAGCGAGAAGGCGCTTTCGTGAAGATGGCACACAGTAACCTGAGTAACCGCGCGCGTCAACAATGCCAATTACATTCGTCGCACACAATGGAGATTGGCTCGATCTTCCTTTTCCACTTGGAAGGACGTATACGTTGCTCAGAGGCGGTACGCGGATACCACATTTCGAGTGGAGTTACGATTCGAATTACGAGCGCGACGAATAAATTCTGGATGTACAACGCGGTCGCTATTGACGCTATTCGCGTAGCGAAAAATACCTGCTCTTTCGAGACCCCGCCGCGGACCGCCGCGGACTCGCGCGTTATTGATCTTGCTTTTCTTGATACGCGAGCGCCGGATAGAAGGACGCGTTCTACGGCGTAGACCGGAGTCAAAAGCGGGCGAGTCAACTATGTGTAAATTCGCGCGCGAGCCGAGTTTGCGCACAATTTTCCCTTTTGCATTATCACTATATCACCGCGACTATCACGGCGCCCACGGCGGCCGCGCGGCAGTGCAGCCAGCAAGCTGGATTCGTTCGCGCGCAGGTAGACAATTTAACTATATTGTAATAAAAAGGAAAAGAATATATAATTATATGCATCTATGCGGAAATCTGTGGAAAAAAGATCGCCACTCGCCGTAAACTCGCGTTAAAGTTGGTTAAAAACTGCACGAATGAGGGAAAAAAAGGAGAGACGTTTAATACCCTGCTGCACCGCCTAGCTGCTGCGCGGTTAACACATACCTGAATGAGCGTGATAAAAGTACGTTCCCGCGCTCTCAGGAGTTATCTTGTAACGAAAACCACCAAAGGGTAAAATAGGGCACTGCGTTATCATAGGCACGCCGTCCATATGATTGGAATCCTTTTGCCGGATTCCGTGCCAATGAAAAGTCAACTCATCACTTCCCAACTTGTTATAAACGAGAACTTGTATCGTATCACCGAGACATATCTACTGAGACACAAAAGTATAAAAATCTTTCTTCTTTAAAGAGAGCTATTTTATTATATAATTAATTATATTTATATATTAATTGTTCTTTCGCGTGTGCTTTCCGCACATGCAAATTATCGCCAGCCGTCAATGTCGCGGATTCTCATTATCTCATCTCGCATTGCGAAAAGATCAATTATACTTGACGTGATCGAATGAGCGCGAGTCAAACGTAATTAATATCATAATAAATAATAAATATGCAGCCAACGAATGTCAAAGCCATATATAGCACCGACGAGGTCGTTATTAAATGCCCATTTTTCGTGTCGATATACTGCGTCGACTGTCGATTAGTCCGGTGTCCGGAGGTAATTGAATAATAAAATATAACGATTGAAGTTTGTTATCCTCGATCAAAATGCGATTGATAATGTCTCTGGTCTCATCGTTCTTTGCAATTCAACCTCTGGATCCTGCAGACTAATTGACAGTCGCAAAAATTTGCCTTATTTGGCCGGCGCAGTCTTTTAAATAATACCTGATCGTAATTAACAATTAGATTTTATCAAAATTTATATTTATACACATTTTAAAAATATATGTGGATACAATTATTTAATGTAAAAAAAAAAAAAAAAAAAAAATCTTTTTTTATTGCAGGAAAATGATACTCACTTGTATAGCCGGTCCCGGACTTTTCCCATTAATCGCCAAAAAGCTCCTTGCAACAGTAATATTCGCGCATCGAGACATCTCGCCATTGTCTTCGAGTTTCTCGTAGAAACTGCAGTGTAATGTTAATTATATTAAGAGCGCATTAATCTTTACTTTATGTGGTTTTTATATTGCAGCTGCATGGATCTTCAATTTTTTTCGTGTTTTCGACAAAACTTGAAACTTTTTGCAAAAAAGAAAATCTGCTGTAACTCGCATAGCATATTAATTAGCTATATACATATAGTATAACATTTATTTTATAATAAAATCATATATTTGCTCAAACAATTGAAATATATATATCAGCTGTGCAACATCGAGTGATAAACGTCAATAAATCTGGACTATTCTTTTCTCGACTCAATAATTTAATAAATAACAATATGTGTGTGAAAATCAATTATTAAAAGCATCAAGGAAGATGAAGATTTATTGAAAAATATTTATTGAAACTCACCATTTTCAAGCGAAAATAGCTCTTTTAGATTGACAGTCCTTCTAGACTGTATTAAAAATGATCGATCAAAGGGAACGGCCGGTTTCATGGTTAACATTTATCAGAGCGAAATGTGTCATTTGATCGCTAATCAATTCGTTTCAGAACAGATCGTGTGAAGAAAAGAAGCACGGAAAAGCACCGAGAATTAAACACCGCGAAGTTTATGCCATTATCTGCACAAATTTCCGTGACCATTATCCATTTCCGTGAGACACAGTTCACAGTAATCACAGTATACGCCATACGTAAGGCGTATATACATATACGCAACATACATACGCGCGATGACAGTCGGTTCGGACGGTATCTGTAACCTGTTACACCGGAACTTGCTACACACGCGCCGCGATCATAAATATTAACCGTTAGAACACCTACTGAAAACACTGCATATCAATATACCAATCCGCTGCATTTGCACTTTACAATGCATTTCGGAAAAAATAACGGGAGATACAAATAACTCTCTTCCTTTCTCTCTCTCTCTCTCTCTCTCTCTCTCTCTCTCTCTCTCTCTCTCTCTCTCTCCCTCCCGCAATTCGGAACTACAAATTTTCAAATTGTCGCACCACTTTTCTCCTTTCTTTTCAGATTTTTTAATAACGTAACGCGCCATTGCTCTTATCTTATCAAGCGCCTAAGATTTCCTTTAAGAAGTAAGCTAAAGAATTCCAAAATAATCCTTTTCTCGCATATAATGTAATTTAAGCATGTTCAGCGCGGTATGTATTAATCGAACATCTGCTAATTATTACGAATAAATTAAAATTACTGTTTTGTAAAAATAGAAAAACTCTTGTAATGCTATCTCACCTTGTTGCGCTGTGCGATTCCGTGATAAGAAAATGATAGACGCATGTTTTTCTCGAAGAAGATTCGTCGGAGCAAGAACGCGCACATTCGTGATAACTGTCATCTGCTTTTTTAAAGAAAATTTTGATAAAATTGTGTTTATAAATCCATAAAAGAGAATGAAACATCACACGTATTTATATTGGACAATTTTGAAAGTATAATTGTGCGATATGCATCATTAACAGTCAAGTTAATTTTATTGCTAAACATGCAATCTCGCATAAATAAGAAGCAATGACACGTAAACTTGGAAACTTCACGTTTCTCTTCGAGAGCTCATTTGCTCTTGGAGAGCGCAAAAATCAGGGAAATACTTAGATATTTGTTGACGATAAAGAATTTCACTCACCGAATGTCTCAAGACACAAAGCTGAAATTGAACAAGAAACAAACGTTAAAATTATGCAATAGCGAAGACACGACATGGTGGCCCAGAATATCTGGTTTGACCCGCGAGCACGTACATAAGTTTGAGCGATCCTGCGCGAATCTAAGCCAACGACCGACTCGAGTCGGCGAGTTGGAACGCTTCTCGCGAATGGCTTCTCTGACTTGCAAGGATATGGAAGTGGGTGAAAGCAAGGCCTAGGCTACGCTACAAAGTAGTACAATTCGGGGAAAGGCCGTGTCTTACTTCTCTTTTTATAAGTTCATGCATTTATTATGTAACAGCTTTATCGCTTTATTTGCATCATTTAATGAATGAATGTAAAAATAAAATTGTACGTTGCAAAGAGAGAGAGAGAGAGAGAGAGACGAAGAAGAAACGATGTTCTCTTTCCTTGGTTTATTACAAAAATTAAAAGAAAATAAAAAAATGTCCAAGATTATTAATCAAATGAATGATAATAGAGATTTATATAAATCTACATGTACACACATATATATTTATATGTATATATTTTTGTGCATGTACGCTATTTAATTAATACTTTTATGATTTATATTAGTTTATATTATGTGTGTGTCTATGTATGCTAAGTATACGTAAATATATAAAATAAAATCAAGCCTTCAGAATTAAAAAAAAAAAAAAAAAAATATATATATATATATAGGTATATATATATATATTCTAGGGTAGTACATTGTTTACCTAGTTAAAAGAAGATTGGTTTTGTAACACTTTAAACTGCACAATGGTATTCCGGTTTTTGAACACGAATATCTTTTAGGATTTTTACATTGATTAACTCCGCAAAAGATTTGTTTTGGTGGACTTTTCCTAAAATATAAAATAACAAGAATACACAAATGTCGCAGCCATGCCATAAATGTCAGATTACAGAAAAAACAATAGTATCTAATATATAAATCAAAATTTTGTCATACTCTTTGGCAGGAGAAAGTGGAAAATTTTCACCGGGTGGTAGAGAAATAGAACTTCCTTCGATCGTTAAACGATACGTCACTAACGGTACTTGTCGTCTAGATAATCTTCCTTTGCCGATAACTTTGGATGCTTTAGATTCTTGCTTCTTAAGTAACCTTTCCATTGTCTTTTTCTATAAAAATAATTCGTTTAAGGTTTTTATTCCATACACTTTGCAAATCATTAAACAAAATCTTATTTATTCAAATTTATTAAAAAACTTTACTATATACATTACTTTATCTTTTTCTCTCTTTTCATCAGCAAGCTGTTTCCGTTTCAGGGACTTTAGAGCAGCCTTCTGTATAGCTTCTGCAGTCATGACTTTTTCTTTGTAACCAGTAGGTAATGACATGAGTTGTTCGACACCTGGATTCGGTTCCGTATCAGTTTTTCTTTCAAACATTGCTCTCTGTCGCGCTGTCATTAGCTTGGGATCCTTTGGCTTAATTTTTTTCAATTCGTCATCAACCTAATAGGATTTATCATTGAGTGCAGTTGCAAATGCAAAGATATAGGCATAATAAATGTTATACGATAGCTTCAATGTTACTACGAAACATTTGAGGAAACATACCTCTTCCAGTTTACCAGATTCAATGGCATCGAGCCACCTTTCTTCTTCACTGCTAGTTCCACTATCTTTACCTTTATTGCCTTTTGGAATTTTCTTTTTTGTAGTTGCTTTTGGAGAAGGTGCAGTACTTATTGTATTTGTGTTCAAACCACATGTTTTCAATATCTTTTCACGTTTATCCAAACTAGAAAATAATATATTGTTGTATATATGTGCACACACAGAGTCATAAGATGTATGCAAGATTTATAGAAATATTCTTAAAATTTAACGAAATATATTGGTTTTTTAAAATAAATTATAGAAAACTTTCCTTTTTCTCTTAGCAAAGGATAATGTTGATGGCCATTACTTGTTCAAAGTTGACGTGACATTTTTGTAAATAATTTTTTAAATTTCAAATTAAATTAAAACAAAAATTAGCAAAGAGTATAATTTCGTACAATTCCTTTGGCTTTCTCACAATATGGTTTGCAAAAAGGTATAAAGAAACTCTCATAACTATAGTAACTCATAAAATGCATACTTTCGTTCATCTTCTTTTTTCATTTTTATTCGAAAGCTTTTCTTCCGGTCAGTGTCGGTTGAAATTTCTACAAAGGCATCGCTGTCATCGTGCATAAGCTTTTTTTTCTTGTGCTTTTTATGTTTATGCTTCTTATGTCTTTTCTGCGATGGGACATCACTTGTATCTGAAATCAAAATTCGATTAACATTAAGAATTTTTAAGTAAATTATCAAATTACGTATAACGTATTATAAAGCGTACAAAAGTGATGTAAATACATTGGATACAGAATTACCTAAATTTATCTCCTCTTCCGTACTTACATCTCTCGGCTTACCCATTAGAACAAGAAGAACAGCCAAACGATTTATCCACCAAACGCCGAAAGACACGTCAGACAATATTGGAACTGCGTAAGAAGGAAACTGTTCACTCTGGTTTAGGAAATGAGGCAACGTGCTATGACTCTTGTGCTACGTGAATGTAACACCAAAATGATAAATAACTAAAATCGTAGCTTCGACATTTTTTAAGGTTAGAAATTTGTCACACCGTTCAACGTTGATTGACCGTGGTTGCACCCAACTACACCACACGCACGGTTAAATTTTACAAGGGAGGATTCCAGGCACGCAATATTATTAGCTATTTTAGCTGCGAGTGCGACCCGACTGGCTGCGATCAAAAAGTAAATATGAATGAACTATATTCTCTGCTGCGACTATGTATGTTTCAGCGCCTCTATGTCCACGAAATGCGGACATTGAACTACGTAGTCAATGTGAAATGTCCACGATTTTGTCGGTAATGTTGACGATTTTTTGGTGCTGATCCGTGCTATGTCTACGATAATATACAATATATATTCATTGCAGTATGTATACATGATTTATATAGCGCATTTTAGCGGAGTAGATTTATTGAAATTTATTCTCCCGTGCACTTATAGCGCGCGCGCATTCGAACTCCACTTAGCGGAGACTCAAACCCCACTTAGACTCCACTTAAATTATATTGAATATTACCGACAAAATCGTGGACATTGGCTACATAGTTCAATGTCCACGTTTTGTGGACATAGAGGCGCTGAAACCAGCTGAATCGAGATCCTCCTCTCTGCTTCAACCAAGTTCAACTCGTGTCAAACTCTCGCTGTAGCCGTTATTAAAATTTAATTAACAAACAAGAGTTACATACGAGTTAATTTTTACTTTATTGACGTGATAATTATGGGTAAGGAAAACGAATCGGATAATGCGAAAAAAAGAAGAAAATCTGTAAATGCGAACAGCGGAACGTCGATGAAAGATGTACAAGGAGATATGTACAAGGTATAAAAATGCAATTTTTTTTGTTTGAAAATTTACAGAAAATATTTAACATGTAATAGGTACGTTCACGCTTTAAATTTTCGCAATGCCGAGAGCAACGATTTTTTTATCATTCAAATTTTTTGTTTTTCATCGAACGAACATATTTTTGTCAATATCTTAGGTTAGGTTAAACAGTCACGTAAAATTATATGATAAAATTAAATATGTGGTATATTTGTTTACTATTTATAAATATAAGTCTGAAAGGAATGAATTATTTATTCTTACTGCTTTGGCTGCTGTCTCTCGATCAACTTGTCCCATCTCAGATAATTATCAATTATGAAGAGAAGGAAGCTGTTGAGAGATTGTCCGAGGATGATTCCGAATGCTTTTTAACAACCTGCGATGATATTCGAGCAGCGATGACTAAAATAGCTAAATTAAAATCCAGTGGTGACTCAAACGTTTGTAACAGATACTCTTGTATGTTATTATTAATTTTATTGTCAAGTTTTCCTTAAACTTACAAAACAAATGCTGCAGATGAAAGATGAAATACGTGAGCTGCAAATTCAAACATCCCTGGCTTTTATAGAACTGAAGAAATTAAATCGCATGGAAAAGTTTCGTACAAAATCTGCACGTGATTCTCTGGTGGCTGCAAAGAGTAGTGTTGATAGCAAACATCTGCATTTGCAGAATCTATTGTACGAGGTGATGCATTTGAAGAAAGAGGTTATTAAATGTCTTCAATTCAAGTAAATGTTTTTTTATTTTTATGCAAAAAGAATTGTTTTATTATCTTTTTAAACAAACTTAAATATTTTTTTTCTTTCTTGTAGATCCAAAGATGAATTGATAGAACTTGTTTCAGAAGAGGAATTTTATAAAGAAGCTCCAGCAAGTATTTCGCGATCTGTATGTATACATGAGTTTTACATACAGTACTTTATACTCGAGTTACAGTAGTAACTCGAGTATAAAGTTTACTTTTTTTTTTCAATATACATAATGTAAACATATTTTAGGAAATAACAAAGAATAATCCTCATCAATTGAGACTGGCTCGTTTGGAATGGGAATTGACGCAACGAAAGCAATTGGCAGCATTGTGCGATGAATTGACAGATAGTAAAAAGGCGGTAGCGTCCAGTATTGAAACGAAACAGACTCGCTTGGACAATCTCGCCCCGCAACTGCGTTCTATATTAGAAGTGAGAAAATTCACTTAACAACTTGGAAAACTTACAAAATGTTTTTTATTATATATAAATGTTCCTATATATACAATTAAAAAACTTTTTTTTTATTTTCAGATAAGCAAACCGTTACAAGAGAGTCTCGGATTGCCATTGGATAAAATTCGCCAGGAGCATCAAAGGGCATCGTTGCTTGCATCACCACTCTATGTGCTGTACGCAAAGGCATCTGCTTACAGAGATGCTTATGGTATGATCTATATATATGTACATCTCCATACTGAGTATATATTTCTGTGACCGTTTTAAAAACTTGTGAAATTTAAATAATAAATAATTAATCTTGTAGATAGTACATTGTTGGTCAAAGTGGAAGGTGACGAGGATGAAGCCAAACGCGCAAACAATCATGACGGTTTACAAGAGTCTGACTCAGATCCTGAGAATCAGTCGGAAAGTATTGTGGAAGAAACGCCCGTGCATAAGAAAAGACATCATAGATTATCCCGGGAAGCGAGGCAAGAAGAGAAACGGTCCAAACTATTGCAGCGACATCCATTGCATGTAAAAATAGTTATCACATTAAAAAGTGAGTTTTGGATTACAAAATCTACAAAGTTTTATAAAAAACGAAATATTTAACGGAATACCCAAGTTAAATTGAAAGATCAAATAAAATTGAGAAATAAATTTATTTCATATTTATCATAATATGAATCATTATGTACGAATTAATTTCTTTAAAAATCTTGAAGAGAGAGAGAGAGAGAGAGAGAGAGAGAGAGAGAGAGAGAGACAAATTTGACTTGAAATTAACTTTTCAGGTGAGACAAGGCTGACTCTTCACTTTTATTACATGATATATTTAAAAGTCATTACGATAGAGTCAAAACTCGAAACGGAAGATTTTGGAGGTATTACTGCTGGGTATGTAAAATTACTTAAATATTTATTGAATAACTCTTATTATTATCTTAATATTAATTTATTAAAATTTCATGTACATACAAATGTGAGAATATTTTTTTCCATTTTGTTTCCTTTAGTTTGATAAATTTGAATTTTTTCAAATCATATTTATTTAATAGAGACATGTTAGTATCCGAGTCGGTTCTTCGTGAATTGTACCCACGGGATTTAGGATTGGAGAGTCCGAATCCCGCCAATCAGTATCAGCTGTCGCGGCATAACTTGGGATCATTTGCGTCTTTGGGATTAGGCATTCCCTATAGATGGGCACAAAGAATGGCTGGTTTACACTTTGTCTCGTGTAACGTAAGCGAACAGCAACAAAAGGTACACGTTATCGCATACTTTTAAATGTGAAAAGTAACTGATTAATTTAACTATTATCATTAGTTGAAAGAAAATAGTTGCTCCGTTTGTAATACAAAATTGTAACGATTTAAATCTCTCTCACTCACGGTAGAAGCGATTAAAGCAATGTATTCTAATTAAAATTTAATTTGTCATTTTAATTTGCAGCTGACGAGTCAAGAATTGGCACAAGACTGTGTGGAGAGTGTGTTAAAAGAAATTAAACGGCGCATAAAAGCAAGGCTGGATCTATGTATGGAAATACGACAATTAGAGTCTGGTAACCTGCCAATCTTTATCAGCACGAGCGATCCTGTGCCGCAGAAAATCTCAACGTCGTTGCATCGATTCACGACTCTCTCCTGGAAAAGTTACTCGAATTATGTCGCTTCACCGGAATTTTATCAGCGGGGATTAATATTGTCCGTAGATATCTTCTACGAAGCTGTACTTCGTCGTGGCAGCAGTACGATTATTACTGTTATATCAAATTACTTGGATCACTTAGATTGCTTCCACACGTTTAGATATTTGATAAATATTTTTTAGGCGAACTCGTGGCCAGGATCGCTATCAAGCCGGATTATCCAAAGATAGCACCGGTATTTAGCATAAGCGTTAGTCCAACAGTGCCAGCGTCCGCCGATATCATTAGAGACATCGAGAGGGAAGTCAATGTGATGTGGACCAAGTCTCCGACTTTGACGGCGCAAATACAACGGCTGAGAGCATGTTTCGACATCTATTTAGAAACTGAGAGTATGGCGCCGAAGGAAAAGATATTCTTCTATCCTGTGAGAGGGCGGACTCGCGCTCGACCATACAAATATTTGTCATTGGGAGGAGGTATATTCACTCATCGTTGAATAAATTATATCATCTTTCCACAACTTATACGTTCTCTTTTCTTTTCAATTCTCTTTATTAATTCATAAGTAATACTTGAGTGGGAGATGTGAGATATCGTTTTCTAAAATTTTTAAATTTCTCTTCTTAGCTCTCCCAGATATTAAATTCATTTTAGAGTTGTTCATTTCAGAGGAATAGGAGAAACTTTTAATCCAATACCGTAGACATTTTTTATTTTAAAGATATTTATTGATTTACCCTTCGCTGATATCGGTCAACTTGGAGTAAATATATTTATACGGGAATAGACGTGAGTGATCGTGCGGTTGGAGCTTTAGAAATGGTTAAGAGATACGTGCGCAAAGTGTTTTTCAATTGTTTGTTTTCGAAAGACAGTTTATCGCACTCCTTTTTCATGAAGATATTATCGGATTTAATATAATTGAATTGTTCCCAAAACTTGTCCAATTTATCGAACGGTTCTGACATCTGTAGGATAAATAGTCTTATTTAAACTTATTTAAAAATTCGGGAAATATTTCGTACGTTCTATGGATAATACCTACGCAACTCGTAAAAGCTCTTCTGGATCCCGTATCACGTAAAGTGTACTTTTGAACAGTCAGCGAGAACGGTTCCAAATTTGAACACATTCTCAGCAACGAGAGTAACGCCGAGCCTTTTTCCGAAATCCTCTGCAATTCCTGCAAATCGAAGAATTGCTCACAAGTCCAAATTGTATGTAATAAATACTTTCTTAAATACTTTCAAATATTTCAACTGATTTTTTTCAACTGATAGTTAAGTTTGTGATAATTTAATATTATAATTTACTTTTACAATGCTGGCGCTGATAATAGTAAATTTTTTCAGCTGGGTAATGTCCAGCATTTGATTCACGGAAAATATCTGTCTCAAACTTTCGGTTCTCTTCCTCATATGCACAATCTGATTATTCAATTCCACTATACTTTGCTCCCTTTTCTGCGACAATACGTGCGTATCCTGTTTTAGGTTCTTAATCATGTTTTGTAATTGTGTTTGCAACTTTGGATATTGCGCCATGTCCGCACGATAAGCGTCATCTTGCTCCTTCAAGTATTCGTACTGCTTTCTCTTATCTCCCGAATTTTTCTCATATTCGATTATCGTTTCATTAAGTTTTCGCCACAATTCCTCGATCTCGTTGGAAACATAATGCATCAAGCGCGACAAGGAATCTTCTTTCTGAAATATTTTCGATCAAAACAATTGTCTGTCATAAAACATACAGCTGAAAAATATTCTTACCAAGTACACGATGCTACTTATATTAACGGCGTTCTGGATGTTTGTTTGCGTCAATATATTTTCTATCCTTTTATCTTGCCCAAAAGTTATATTCTGCAGCTGATTGCAGTACTGCTCTAAATTCTTTCGTACTCTATTTAATTCGTTCATCTCAACCGAAACGATACGATTACGTTCGCGTGCGAAGGTCTCGTGCAGATTAATGCACTTCTGCTTGTATCTTCCTATAACATTAATAATTATACGTACTAGTACATAACAGGCGCGCGCGCTGCGTATTGAATCCCATACATCTTCCAATAACATTTATACCAATTTACATTTTAATTAAACAAATGTTAACAATTTTTGATAAAAAATAAATTTAAAAAAAAAATGACGCTTTGCGCGCGGTGCATATTAAACTCCAT